TGATAATTTGATAAAACTAATGACATTTTTCCGGGTCTGATAAAGAATTGTTTAGTGTGTGTTACGCGTTTTGTTTTACTGTTCCGTTTGCTCTGGGAGTGCTTGGTTTAGACGAAAAAGGAGGAGTGCCTCTAATAAAAGGGCATGGGGTAGATAATCAAAATCAGTCGAAGACAGAGAAAATCTCTTAGAAAAAAGAAATGAGAAAAAAAAAAAAAATTTGGGTACGGGTGGGACTCGAGCCCACCCCAATGGGAATGGGAGTCTCATACTATAAACCACTAGGCCACCGGGACATGCGTGCAGTTTGGGAGCAGAACTTTTTCTTGAAAACGCCTAGAGACTTATCTCCAGCTTTTCTGATTGATTGATAACAGATTGATGAGGCGAGGACAAAGAACGAGATTTTCGTTCAACTTCTTGGAGCTTTTCTCTTTGGAACACAAACAAAACAACACCTATTTATGAAAGAATTCAGTTTGAAAAGCAGGGTTTTACACACAAAAACCACACGGAACAGGACAATAAGCTATAATTTTCCTAAATGACAAAAAAGAGAGCAAATCAGTCAAAAATCGACTAAATTTGGGTTTAAGGATTATAACCTAGGTCCAAAACTGGCCTAGACTAACCAAAATTAGTTTGGAATAAATCAAAGCAAAAAAAAAAGATTTGCCCCGAGTGGGATTCGAACCCACGCTGGTGTTACCCATTGAGAACGGGAGTCTCACGCCTTAGACCGCTCGGCCATCGGGGCGGCCGGTCTGAAAAAGTGCGTCTCTGGTTGCGACAATACAATGATCGCTGTTTGTCTGCTGAGGAGGTCCCTTCCCATTCCCGCAATCTTTTCTCAGAGACGCACATTATTCAGACTCGCCGCCCCGATGGCCGAGTGGTTAAGGCGTGAGGCGTGGTCGGTCTCATTGGGTAACCAGTCGCGGGTTCGAATCCCGCTCGGGGCAAAATTTTTTTGTTTTTTTGGCTTTTTTCATTTTATGATTTTTGTAAACGTGAGGGAGCATAATGAACTGGAAAAACACTCAAAATGACAAGAAGATAGACTAAAATTGCAGGAATTCTCAATTTTCCGAAATCTCTAACTCAAAAATTGTACCGGACTACTGCCAAAAATAGGAAAAATCAGCGGTTGTTTTCGGGTTCTTTCCAGAATCCTTCTCACTCCTCTTCTACTCCAAATCACAAGGAATTCACAGAATCCATTTTGTACTCAATTTACAAATACGTGACGATTTGAAAAAGAATAGAGATGACAAAACCAGAAAAAAGGTGTGAAATTTATCACCTGAAAATTAGAAAAAAAGGGAAAGTGTACATACGTTTTGCAACATTAAAAAAGAGGAAGAAGGGGGGAAGGGGTCGTTAAAATTTTTATTTTATTTTTCAGTCGGGTGTGGTGGTGGTAGGCAATTATGATTTTTAGAGCAGAAGAGCAAGAGAAGGTGTGATTGAGATGGGGGCACCTGTTATAGAAGGGCACAAGGTTATTTTTGACACATGCACATGGTCTCCAACAGTGAGAAAGGCAAACACTTCCTAAGGACGTTTTTTGTGAAACTTGAGGTCTAATCACAGTAAATTTTTTTGTACGTCCATTTCTTTTCTCGGATTGTACGCTCCATCTCACAAGGACTTTTGTAGTAATTTTTGTAGTTGTTACAAATTTTATATTGCGCCCTTAAATTGCTACAGTAAGCCGAAGGAGCGCGCACCATGTTTACAGAGCACTTTTCAGTGATGAATTTTGATCAAATTCTGTTAATATTGTATTCAACATGATGCGAAGACAAAGTTCTATGCAATTTAATTTTAAAATTGCTTAGGCCTCAATTTTTTCATTTTTCAACAAATTGAGGCAATTGACTACATATCGCCGAGTCGCGCCGCAGTTAAAGGCGTAGTAATGTCTTTGGGGAAAATATGTGAAATTGTAGAGAGAAGGTCCAATAGTACCCTAACATCAATAAAAAGTTATTTCGAAAACGACGAAGAAAGATAAAGACCGACGAAGAAGCGAGCTGGTCATTGAGAATGTTCTAGAAGGAATACAGTCTTTTTGCTTTTTTGTCAAATAGGGACGGTTTTCTGAAAATGTTTTTCAGCGTAAATGTGTATCTGTACACTACCGATTTTTTCATGGAAACAACTTTTTTCCAAATCAGTTCTACCCTGTTTAAAAAAGAATTTAACCGATTTAGTCTCAAAAGTTCCCTTAAAAATGTCTGAGTTTAGTTCTTGAACTACTATAAACTACTATTAAATGATTCCCATCTGACTCAATGACAAAAAAGCACAAAACAGCACAAACCCTCTCAAAAATTTGATCCCAAGCTAATCTGGATATCCATATTACGGATATAAATTTCTCTTTCATAAACTCCCGGTGTTTATGATATCATTGTTCCGCATACTCAATACAAAGGAATGTCTCCTTTGAGTCTTTACATATTCCTTCTAGACATACTTCCAGTAGATAAAACTAGAATATGTAACTATTGCTCATCCTGAGCAGAAATACAAGCTATGTCCCCTTCCAATAAGTACCGTTGACTGAACAACAGGATTTTCGAAGAGAATCCGAAATGTATAAAAGGGAATGACCTTGGATTATTGACCGCCAAAATCCTCA